TCTTCGTCCTCGCCTTCGACGACCTCGCCGTCTTCGTCCTCGCCTTCGACCTCGCCTTCTTCGTCCTCGCCTTCGACGACCTCGCCGTCTTCGTCCTCGCCTTCGACCTCGCCTTCTTCGTCCCCGCCTTCGACGACCTCGCCGTCTTCGTCCTCGCCTTCGACCTCGCCTTCTTCGTCCTCGCCTTCGACGACCTCGCCGTCTTCGTCCTCGCCTTCGACGACCTCGCCTTCTTCGTCCTCGCCTTCGACGACCTCGCCTTCTACGCCACCTTCAACCTCTCAAACCACCGCCTTTCGATGTCGCACCGAAGACCACTGCCCAGCGGCGGGACCGCGTATCCATCGCAGGTGGCTTGACTAAGGAGAATGAAGTTGCCAAAGCTGTGGAGCGCGCGGCGGCGGCCACTGAAGAGACGAAGCCTCCGTGTTCTCCTACCCAGAATGCTCCTGGACTCCATCCCCACCAACCAGATGGTGTCCGACCGATGGGAGCGCTCCTAAAACGTTGGGCGAACGGCAAAGGAACGGCTGCCGGTGGATCCGTAGCTGATGGACTCGTGGTAATGGAGCGAGTAGAAGGTTCTGGTCAACCAGCAGAGCTCTTGGAGGTGGTACAAGCTCTTAGAAATGGCGTATGGACCGCCTACGTATGGACCGCCTACGTATGGACCGGTGCTACGCAACGGCGAGGGAATCGGGCGGAACGCGACGGGCAGATGGGGAACGGAGATGTACGGAGAAGAAAAGAATTGGGAACAAAATGACGGGATCCTCGTCTCCCGTCCTACGCCGCGCGCCGGAAAAATACCACTGGGGTGGTCAGATGGGAGCGATCCGGGCGCCCACCAGTAGGAACGTGGTGGGATTTTCCTTCTGCCTTGAGTGTCGGATGGTTGAACGGCTCCACGAATGGCGGGGACACGTGGACTTGTATCTTCACGCAAGAAGACCGCGTTGGCCAAGGCTCTACCCAACGCGTCGTCCCACCGGTGACCAGGAATCCAAAACCTCATCCCTCGGGAAACGCCGGGTGGGAAACGGCGCTTTTGAGGGAGGGGATTATGGGGAACGGTGGAAGCGAGGTCTCCTTCCTGAAGCTTCCGTGCCACCCAAGACCTTGGTCGTCTTCCTCCTTCCCTAGGAACCTCCTGGATGAAGAAGCTGTCCTTGACCCGTCACCCTACGGAAAGGAACCACCAAGAAGGCGCAGCGAGTGTTGTGCGGGAGGTTTGTTAACACCCGGTGAGGCGTTACCACCGGAGAAGACGTGGAGAACATCGAAGACGACGAGAACCTTCACGTGATGGACAATCCTAACCCTTCCATGGGGAAATCCGGCATTCCCTCACGGAAATTTGGATGGATAATGAAGGAAAACCAGTTAGCCCATCGCGTCCCAGCTGGCGACCTCCGCCGCGACGGGGACGCCGGGAGCCGACGTAGCCAGGAGCCACCGGTGGGGGCAGGAGGAAGCGAGGTGTCCGCCCGCCCACGCGCACCCAGCTTTCCCGGAGGTGGTAGGAGGGTGTATGCGGGAATGGGGACCAGTTTGGCACTGGTGGGACCAGACGTCCCCATGTGTCACCCTGTAGATGACAGCACCATCCCAATTTGGCACTGGTGGGACCAGACGTCCCCATGTGTCACCCTGTAGATGACAGTGCCATCCCAGTTTGGCCCCATTTGGCACTGGTGGACCCCCATGTACACCACATAGGTGACAGCACCATCCCAGTTTGGCACTGGTGGGACCAGACGTCCCCATGTGTCAC